CTGCATCAGGAAGAGCTTCTGTGTGACACAACTATTGTGGCCAAAGGAGAACGATTCCCCTGTCACAGGTATTGTGTTGTGATGATTGTGTTACAGAGATAAGGGTTGCCAGAATTCACTGCATTCATTCATCCTTTTCCTTCCTTCCTTCCTTCCTTCCTTCCTTCCTTCCTTCCTTCCTTCTTTCTTTCCTTCCTTCCTTCCTTCCCTCTCCTTCCTTTCTCTCCTTCCTTTCTTTGCTCTCCTTCCTTCCTTCCCTCTCCTTCCTTTCCTCTCTCCTTCCTCCTTCTCCTTCCTTCTCTTTTTCTCTCCTCCTTCCTTCCTTCCTTCTCTCTCCTTCCTTCCTTCTCCCTTTTTTTTTGCTCTCCTTCCTTTCTTTGCTCTCCTTCCTCTTCTTTCCTTCTTCCTCCTTCTTCTTCCTTCCTTCCTTCTCTCCTTCATTCCCTTTCTCTTCCTTTCTCTCCTTCCTTTCTTTGCTCTCCTTCCTTTCTTTGCTCTCCTTCCTTCCTTCCTTCTCCCCTCCTTTCAACCTCCCCTTTTCCATCCATCTCCCCCCCCCTTTTTTTTTTTAAAAAGGCAAATTAAGCAGGTAGTATCAGGCGCTTTCTGGGAGTTGAATTAATGCGATGGGTGGGTAATTAATTAATGTGATGGTGATAGAACCCAAAATCTACAAGGCACCCCCAAGATGGCTTACTGTATTGGCCAAAACACAAATTTTGCCTGTCCGTTAGATGTTTTTTAAAAAAGACTTTCTAACAGGACTTCTTCGCACATGTCTCTTCCCATTTTTCTATATTTGCTTCCTTCCCATAAACTTTTAGCATTTCTTGGTCTGGGGTCTTTTTTTGCCCTAGCTTTTTACTTATTTAGATCTTCTATTTCTATATTTTTTTCCTTCCGGAGACCTGAGTAACCCGCTCACCCCCCAAATAAGAGCATCCCTCTTTCTCTCTGCCACTCCACTACAGTAAGATCAGGCTAAAAATTGCAGGAAAAAAATAATATTGGTAAATCCTGGAGAATGAGGTGGAAAAACAGAGCAGCCTCTCTGGCCAGCCAGGAAACACTTGGAAAGCCAGCGGGAAAAATAACATCTCTCATCTGTTTTCTGGACTTAGGATACTCCTGGCAGCTATCAATCCCTACTTCCGAGCCATGTTCTCCAACTCTTTCCGAGAGTCCCAGGACGGAGAGGTGCTTCTGCAGGACATGGACCCCGCCATCATTCAAATGGTGGTACAATACTACTACACGGAGGAAATCGAACTCACGCCCGAGATCGCCGAAGACCTGTACGAAGCAGCCAGCCGCCTCCAGATCCTTCCTTTGCTGGAAAGCTGTTCCAGGTAACCATCAGGTTGCACAATGCCTGCTGGACGTTGATTTTGGGGAGTGGGGTGGGGATGGACCCCCTCCCCCAATCTTCTTCTTGCTCTGGAGTGTCTCTCCTGTTCTTTTCCTGCTCAAGGGCTCCCTCTACAGTTCTCTTAAAAAAACAGCAAGGGATATGTTATTCTGGGCCAGGGGTCAGCAACCTGCAGCTCTGGAGCCGCATGTGGCTCTTTTACCCCTCTGCTGCGGCTCCCTGTCACTCAAAATATGCGTCACAGCCGCCAATGTGTGACACCCGCCAGCATGCAATTTATTGAGCCCCTCTCTCTGCAGCTACCTGTTGGAGCACCTCTGTCCGGAGAACTGCTTGAGCATCTACCAGCTGGGCTACTCACACAACGACCCTGCACTCTTCCAGGAGGCCAAAAGCCTGGTGCACACCCACTTCAAGCGCCTGTCCCAAGAGGCGCCCACTTTCCTGGACCTCAACCCCAGCACCTTGGAGAGCATCCTGGCTTCCGACAATCTGCTAGTCTCCTCCGAGTTGCTGGTCTACCGGGCCGCGTGGCGCTGGGTACAAGCCCAGAGTGCCCTCCGCTTACCTTTCCTGGCCCGCCTGCTAGCCCAGGTGCGCTTCCCGCTGCTCACCCCGGAAGAGCTGCGTCAGGTACAAACCGAGCTTCTGCAGCGGCCCAAGGAGCTGCGTCCACGCTGGAGGCGCCTGAACCGCCAGGAGCGGCTGGCCCAGTGCGGGGGTCTCCGGCGGGGCATGTTTAACACCTGTATTGTGTGTGTGGATCTTTTCAACCTGGAGGGACCTGAGCTGCGCACCAAGGATTTCCAGGTGGGCTGCTACGACCCTCAAGCCGGCCTTTGGGAGAAGCTGCCGCTACTGGAAAGGCTCTACTGCGCGCGCTGCGTGGCGCTGCGTGACCGGCTTTTTGTCACGGGTGGCGTCCACACAGACGATACCTACTCAGACACACTGCATGAGTACAGCTCGCTGCGGGGCCGCTGGAGCCGGCTGGCGTCCATGTCGGTAGCGCGCGCCTCTCACGGCTTCCTCACATGGGGCGGCCGCCTCTTCGCACTGGGTGGCTGGCGCAACTTCGAGGACTATCTTGACTCGGCCGAGAGTTATGACCTAACCGAGCAGTGCTGGGTGCGCATAGCACGACTGCCGCTGCCGCTGAGCCACTTTGCATCGGCCGCGCTGCGTGGTCGCCTCTACCTGGTGGGAGGTGCGACGGAGGCGGTGGGCGCATGGTACGCGTCGCGTAAGGTGCTCATCTACCAGGTGGGTGCCAACCAGTGGACCCAAGCCTTCCTCAGCAGCGGGGGCTATTGGGCAGGTGCCGTGGCCATGAATGAGGGCATCTACGTTGTGGGTGGCTATTTCCGTGGACGCACGCGGCAGCACCAGCCCACGCGTGACCGGCGGTCGGATTCGGATGGGCTGCGCTGCACCCGACGCTGCTTTTTCCTGGGCGCTGACGGGCGCGTGGACCGTCGCGTGGCTGTGCCACCTTTGCCCGTGGAGCTGGCCGGCGCGGGCGTGGTGCGCTGGAAGCAGCGGATCTACGTGTTGGGCGGCGAGAATGTGGCACTGGGGCGGCGGGCGGTGGGCGAGAACGAGGAGGAATACTACAATACCGTCTACTACTGGGAGCAGGGCGCCCCCCGCTGGATCCGCTGCCAGGAGCGGCTGCCCTTCGCCAACTGGGGGGTCAGCGGCTTCGGCTGTGCTGCGGTCAAACTGCCCAAGAAGCCGATCCTGGAGTTGTTTCGCAAGACTGCCGTGGCCCTTACTGGACTGGAGGGGCCCGCCTGCTGAGAGGGGCCTTTGCCTCACCCCCCCCTCTCTCTTTCTCTCTCTCTTTCTTTTTTTTCTTTCATTCTCTCTTTCTTTTTCTCCTTCTCTTTCTCTCTCCTTTCTTTCTGGTCTTTCTCACACTCTTTTGTACTCTCTCCCCCCCTCTCATTTTCTCTCTTTTGTTCTCTCTCTCCTCTCATTCTCTCTCCCACTACCTCTCCCTTTTTCTCTCTCTTTCATTCTCTCTCTCCACCTCTTTCTCGCTCTTTTTTCTCCTTCTCTCTCTCTCTCTCTCTCTCTCACACACACACACACACACTCACTCACACACACACAAACACGCACACACCAGGCCACAACCGGGCGACCCCCTTGTCCCACACAGAGTCTAGAAAGAAAAACTACTTCTTCCTTGCCTACATTCATGTCTGCCTTTCATTCGTGACGGAGGGGTCTCATGAATATCTGGGCAAATTATATTCCTTTTTTTAATGTTTAAAATGTTTTCATAGTATAATTAGCAGATTAAGGACAATGGTATCAGTTAGTTATAATAGGTCTCCTGCTTGGGCAGAGGTATGGACCAGAAGATCTCCCAGGTCCCTTCCAGCTCTATTCTGATTGATTGGTTGATTGATTGATTGATTGATTGATTGATTGAAATGGTCTAGGGCCGTGATGGTGAACCTATGGCACGCGTGCCAGAAGTGGCACGCAGAGCCATCTCTCCGGGCACGCCAGCCGTCACCCATTGCTCTTCCAGTTGCCATCATGCACACGCGTGCTGGTCACTGGACTTCCAGTTTCTGGCACGTGTGCATGCATACCGGTTAGCTGGTCTTTGCACGCATGGGAGCGCCGGAAACTGGAAGCTCAGTTCCCTGGCGCGGGCATGCGTGCCTGAAACCGGTGCTCCCGCACCAAAAACCAGAAGACCAAGGAGCCTGTCAGGTTTCGATGTCATCTCAAATAAATTGCACTCCCAAACAATTAATCTTTGCTGAAATATTCCATTTATTGAGTACGACTGATCTGGCCCCGATTTCGTCGTAGCCAATACTAACCCTCTGACCCCCAAACCCTTCCCTTTCCGTTCCCCAATTCTCATCTTCTCATTGGCCATCTTCCAAGTCAGTCTCCCCAGCTTCTGACCTCACCCCACAGGAATGTTCTCCCCTCCCCTCCCATCTCCTAGGGGATATTATCTACAGAGAAAATAAGTAGGTGAAAAGTCAAGCCTCGTCTCCTCCTTTTTATGGCAGCATCAGAATGCTGACAGAGCCTGTAGTACAGTGGACTAAAGCACTGTTATTAACAGATTAACATCTGCTGCTTGCAATTACTGCAAGTTCGAATCTCACCAGGCGCAAGGTCGACTCAGCCTTCCATCCTTTCAAAGGTAGGTGAAATGAGGACCCAGATTGTGGGGGCAATAAGCTGACTTTGTATAAATATACAAAAGGATAAAGGCTATTGCTTAACGCATTGTAAGCCGCCCTGAGTCTCCGGAGAAGGGCGGCATATAAATCAATGCAACAAAAAAAAAGTGACCGGCGCACATGTGCACACCGGAAACCAGAAGCTTAACTTCCCAGTGGTGCATGCGCGCTGGGGAGGTGCTGTTCCAGTTTCCGACATGCGAGCTCCCGTTGTGGCACTCAGTGCCGAAAAAGTTCACCAACACTGGTCTAAGGTCTCCTGCCTGAGCAGGGGGTTGGACGAGAAGGCCTCCCAGGTCCCTGTCCTGATTCAAATTGATTCAAAGATGAAGAACCTCCATGGATCTCTTTCATCCAACGACTCGACCAGAATCAGCCACCCATTCCCGCACCTACCCACCTTAGACCGTGCCTTTCATTGCCACTCAAATTTATTGAAAAGAAAGGAATGAAAAACAGCGACTTAACATCTTAGGTCCCCAAATTATGTTAAGTAAGTTGAGGTCTTCAAAGATGTCAGGTGAGAACATCAACATCTTCGGGGTGGGATATTGCGAACCTGCTGGGATTGGGCGCTTTGGAGACATCTGAAAGTCGATCTATGGGAAAGCTGAATAGTTCTGTGGTCCATGGTCTTTGTAGTAACCTTGATAGGCTACCAAGGCAAAGGCCCACAGAAGCCAGTGGCGATTGTACCTCATTATAGTGGAGTTTATTGATAATCCCGGCCTGATATTCACGCATGAACAGGTTGGTGGGAAGGAACTATGATTTGGTGACGGCCGACACAATAACCACCGAAGTCACTTGGAAGAGTTGGAGAATATGAGGCTTGGGCCTCAACAGAGTCGCGCAACCAAATCTGCTGATGCCTTCTCGCGGCACGGGGATTTCGGCACTGGCCCGGTGCCAGCGGGACTCTCCCGGCTGCCAGTGGTAGATCGCTTTGTATCTCTGGGACAGATCTTCTCCGCCCAACACGTAGATCCGCTTGCCGCAGTAAACCACCGCTGCGTTGGCCAAACCTCGTCGCAGCTTGGGAACGGTCACGTTGCAATTCACCTTGCCAGACTCACTGATGAAGAAGCATTTTCGGGTGCTGTGGCGGTTCTCGGGCACCAGGGCCCTCTCCTGCCAATCCTCGTTCTTCTTCTCGGTGTAACCCCCAATGACGTAGATGCCGTTCTTGTCAGCCACGGCGCCCGCGGCGAAGAAGCCCGTCGCCAGCGGGACTTGTGTCCACGTGTTGGAAGCAATCCCGTAGATCAAGACTCCCTTGTGGAAGAGCCAGTGGTTGGAGACCCCGGTGGCGCCTCCGAGGAGATACACTTTCTCCCGCAACACGCTGGAAGCTGGGTGGCTCAGGGCAAAGGGCAACTTGGCCATCGGAGTCCAGATCCCCGTGTCGAGGTCAAGGGTCTCAGCCAGATTTAGGAAAGTCTGGAATCTGCGCCAGCCTCCCATGGCGTAGAGTTTTTGATGGTCGAACACGAAGCCGTGGGCCGCGCGGGGCACAGTCATGGCCCGGAGCTGCAGCCACTGATTGGTAAAGGCGTTGAATTCGTAGACGGTGTTGGAGTACGCGTTCTTGTAGACGCCTCCTGAGACGTAGACCTTGTCTCCGTTGGAGGTACAGCAAGCGTGGGTTAACGATTGTAAGCCGGGAAGTTTCTCCCAGACTTCGGCCTGTGGCTCGTAGCAGCTCACATGGCCCTCTTCGCTCTCCAGCTGTTGATACTCGCACATCTGAGTGTCGATGCAGAAAATGTGCGGCTTGTACATGCCTTGGCGCAGCCCGCGGCTTTCTTCTAACCGTTCGGGGCCATCCATGACTTTCCGTTCGAGTTCGAGGTCGTTCCATCTCTCCAGATCTTCCTGGAGTACGTCTTGTTCCTCGGGACCGAAGAGGGGGAAACGGACGTGGTTCAGAAGCTGTCCAAGGAAGGGGCTGCGCTTGCTGGGCTCACCCTGAACCCACCGCCGTATCGCCTGGTAGACCTTGAGCTCGGAAGCCACGTTGAGGTCATCGGAGGCGATGACAGTGGCGAGATCGCTGGAGTCCAGTCGGAGGAAATTGTCCCCTTCGAACGTCCACTCAAAATTCCTGATCAGGAGCTGGAGAACAGCGTGGAGGAGAGGCTGGCTGTGGTGCAGCTGAGCTAAGGAATACATCTCAAAGCAGTTCTGGATGGAGAGATGGGCCACCAGGAACCTAGAAAGGAGAGAGATGGAAGGGGAGACCTGTTTGATCTTCAAAGTTCAGCAAAAAGGGGCAGGGTGTTTTTGGTGGAAGAATGAAGAGAGCCACTGAAGACAAGATTTGTAGCTCAGGGTTGAAATTGAGGGGTCCCTGTTGTTCTCTGAGCCTGGGGGTTTTCGTGCGGACGTTTCATGACCCAAGTAGGGAACATCATCAGTGCATCACTGGTGTTACCTAGCTTGGTCACGAAATGTTGCACCAAGGACCTCACATACTTAAAATTCCTTCCTCCTTCTATTTTCCCTACAACAACAACAACAACAATCCTGTGAGGTGGATTGGGTTGGGAGAAAGGGACTGGTACAAAGTCACCCAGCTGGCTTTCATGCCTAAGGCAGGTCTAGAACTCACAGAGTCCTGGTTTCCAGTCTGGTTCCTTTAACCCACTAAAAAAAAAAAAAAGCCCTTTTATCTTTTTAAACCAACTTTTTAAACCGTTTAGCTTTTTAACCGATTGGCTAGTTTCCTTTTGACGTTCAGGAAAAAGCAAAACCTTCATTCGAGTCTTGCCAGTTCCGTCTCGCCTTCATCTCTTCGGCTCTCCCATTCGCGCACACCTTGGGGTGGCTGGGATGGGAGACCACCAAGAGATCTTAGGGATGAGTTCAAACCAGCCCGTGATGCACAACCGTAAGGGAACATCTGGAAACCTACCTGCAGCAGACGGTTTCCAAGGGGATGATCTGCAGCTGGCTGGCTCCGGTGAAGAGTGACGGAGCCAGCTCGGGAGTGAGTGCGAGTTCTTCCGTGTAGATGTATTTCAGGATGTTCTGCATGAGGGACGGAGACACGTTCTCCAGCTGGACCTCTGACCCTTCCAGGTCTTTCCCACCTTGGACGAAGACGTCCCGGAAATAAGGACTCACGGCTGCCAGCAAGGCCCTGCAATGAGAGGCAGATGTCCACGTGGGGTTTAGACACGTGTGGCATTGACGTGTGCCGTGGTCTCTAGCGATAATCCCCAGAACAACATCCCGGCGAGGATGGTGGCTCTGAAGAGGGTTTTCTACAGGGCCAAACAATCCTGGATCCAGGCCAACAGCTTAACTAAGTTAATTGAAGAAGCTTTCTAGATTAAACCATTCCTCTGATTTTGGGGGGCGGGGAATCAATTTTCGAAATGCAGGATCATCTCCTGGCATGTTTCGCACAGCCGGAATATTACCCCAAAAATTGTAGAAAATAACAGAATTAACAGTGCTGGAAGGGACCTTGGAGGTCTTCTCGTCCAGCCTCCTGCTTATTCAGTGGTGAGATTCAACCCAGTTAACAATTTTGGTTCGCCAAAATTTGAGTTGTGTATGCGTGAGTGTCTTCCACACATGTGCGCCTGACTTCCACACATGCGTGCATGGCTTCTGCGCAGGCGTAGCTTCTGCTACACCGCGAGGGTCAACCAAACAGCCTTTCGGGGCCTGCTCCGCTCCATCTCTGCACTCCGCTGCTGCGCTTTAGGTAAGAAGAACCCGGATGTAGTTTGAGGCTATAAGGGAGTGGCGGCGAGTGGGCGGCGGCTCCGTGGCAAGGCCGGAGCTGGGGAATGGTGCATTATCCCTGAACTGGCAGAGGCGGGCGGCGAGCGGGTGGCAGCTCCAGGGCAAGGCCAGAGCCGGGAAATGCTATGTCCCTGGGCCCCGACCTGAGGTGAAGGGCGAGTAGGCGGCATTCTTATCTCTGCGGGGAGGGGCAGAGACAAGGCACAGAGATTAGCTGGACCACGTGTTGAAGGGAAGATAATATATAGGGTAGGGTGGGGCAGGGCGAGCGGGGCTAGCTGGTGGTCGATTTTACCGGTTCTCCTAAATGTGCAAAATCGTACCAACCGGTTCACCCAAACCGGTCCGAACCGGCTGAATCCCACTCCTGATTCCATTCAGGATAATGGAATAAGTTTGTAGAGATCACTCCCCTCCGGCTGCTGTGGGTAACCCTGGGAGACAGCCTTGAGAAAAATATGTCTGGAATGTGCTCCTGTCTTTGGCTGCCATGTTGCTTCTTCGGTTCCCATCCCCCTTTCCTATGGCAACTCGAGAGCAGGCCAGGGATGCTTTGCGAGTTGACAGTGAGAGCCTTACCTGTGGCAAGGAAACCTCTGTCCATCGGCCACCAGCGTGACGTCACAAAGCAACTCCCCTTGGTACATCTCGGTCAATCCTGGCTCCGAGAAGAAGAGACAGGCTCAGTTCAACAAGCCAGGTTAAGACCCAACATTTTCCTACGTTCTATCCCAAGCTCCAAATTCTTGAGAAATGGCAAAAAATGTAAAAAGTCATATTTTTTTCCCCCGAACATGACAAACGTCTCCTTTTCGAAAACTCTTGCTTGCGCCTTAAGAACAGGTTGTTCCGGACTTTCATTCTTCTGGGGAAACTTTTAACATATGTCAAATTAATGATCCACAATAAAAATTATCCCAGTTGGCCCGCTAAATCTCACCTATTTGCAATTTGGAATAGATCTAAAATACACTCATTCTGGGTACATTTACTATAATAGGTAAAGGTAAAGGTTCCCCTCGCACATAGGTGCTAGTTGTTCCCGACTCTAGGGGGCAGTGCTCACCTTCGTTTCAAAGCCGAAGAGCCAGCACTGTCCGAAGACGTCTCCGTGGTCATGTGGCCGGCATGATTCAATGCCAAAGGCGCATGGAATGCTGTTCCCTTCCCACCAAAGGTGGTCCCTATTTTTCTACTTGCATTTTTTACCTGCTTTCGAACTGCTAGGTTGGCAGAAGCTGCGACAAATAACGGGAACTCAGCCCGTTACGCGGCACCAGGGATTCGAACCGCTGAACTGCCGACCTTTCGATCGACAAGCTCAGCGTCTTAGCCACTGAGCCACTGCATCCCTTTTACTATAATAGCAAGCCATAAACTTAAGATTTCCAGACCACAATGACCAGATTCACAAAATACGAACGAAGCTACTCCTGGGAATGGTGGTGTGAACCCTTCGAAGTTGGGACAGCTGTAGTAAGAGGTCTTTTGAAGCTCTTACCTTCTTTCAAGCCAAGAGATCTTGGTTTAAGCTTGGTGATCTGTCCCCTTTTCTGGCTGGTAGTCATCGTGAGCTATCAAACAAAGAACGGAAGAAGTTTGTAGCTTGTGTAGGAGGGAGTGAACGGTTGACGGTTGCATCAACAAGATCTAGAGAACCTCTGAGCTGATGGCCCTCCATCTTTTAGTACTTCTCCAGGGTGGTGTAGTAGTATATAGGCAGAAGGGCTGAATTTAGGGTTGAGGACCTGTCTCATAGGTCTTCCTTGTTCTTCCTTGATGGAGTCCCGTGATGGTGAACCTATGGCACCCGTGCCACAGTGGCACACGTAGCCATATCAGTGGGCATGCCAGCTCAGCTCTGGCATGCATGCATGCACCAGCCAGCTGATTTTGGGGACTTCTGGGCCCACCAGAAGTAGTGAAACAGGCTGTTTCCTGCCTCTGGAGGGCCTGGGGTAGGATGGGGAAGGCTGTTTTCGCCCTCCCCAGATGCATAGAGAAGATCTGGAGCCAGGCGAGAAAGAAAAACGGGCCTACCTGGCCATCGCGTGCCAAGAATGGGGGGGAGGGTGGTTTGCGCGCGCATGTGCAGGGCGGGGCACGTAGAATTATGGGTGTGGGCACACATGTACGCGAATATCCCCCACCCCCCCTCCTGGCACGCGATGGCAAAAAGTTTACTGTTCTAGTCCAATGTTCTCAACCCACTTGAAGATGTGTGGACTTCAAGTCTGGAAGTTAAACATCCACAGGTCTTTAGGTGGCCAAGGTTGAGAACATTGGACTAGAAGAAGGAAGGAAGAACAAGGAAGGCATACTACTACTACTATGGAAGTTGAAGTCATGTGAAGACCTGAAGATGTGTGGACTTCAACTCTGGAAGTTGAACATCCACACGTCTTAGGTAGCCAAGGTTGAGAACATTGGACTAGAAGAACGAAGGAAGAACAAGGAAGGCCTATACTACTCTAGAAGTCATGTGAAGATCTGAAGATGTGTGGACTTCAACTGTGGAAGTTGAAGTCCACTCATCTTCAGGTGGCCAAGTTTGAGAAACACTGCTCTCATCCTTCAACGTTCTTGAAGTCATTTTTGATGGTTAAAAGAACTTCTAGGATGGAGTAACGTTGAGGGGTTAGAAAATATAAGGAAATTGGCCAAGCTGCCCTCTATAACTTTTATTGTTTTATCGATGCATAAAATACAAAGAAAAATAAAAATAGGAAATTAAGGGAAGGAAAAAGAAAAGGGGGAACGAAAATATGAGGTAAAAGGGAAGAAGAAAAAAGGTATTGACTTCCAACTCTTTTTAGCACGGTACAAGATAACAACATTACAACCTCAACTTTTTTTCTTTTTTGCATCCTGAACTCGCCATCCTGGCAGGAATTCTGGGTTTATAGGTTGGAAATGGGAGAGGAGGTGACATCCCTTCTGTTCATAAAAGAGTCTGGATGCGATTTTCTTACCTCTGATGATACCGTAGCCCAGTTATAAAAAGTGTTTGGGGAAAATGTCACTCTATCCGGGACCCATCAGTCTGGGCCAGTGCGAGCCTGGCAGAGTTGCTCCCTCCCCCTCTGCTCCTTGGGGCTGTTTCTCCAGAGTCTTCTGGTACCTTCTGCCATCCCTGAAGGCCAAGAAGCTCTGTCCCCAGGGAAGACCGAGCTTTTAGCCTCTCTGGATACACAGCCATTGTGATGTCACATCCACACCCTGATCTCTGTGCAGAGAAAAGGCAATTGACAGGCTAGAGTGGAATCTGAATTTTTTTTTTTCCCCAGGGAGAGCCCTGGTTGGGTAGAGAGATCCCCGGGGTGAGCTTGTTAGAAGATCCTAAGGGCCTTTCTTTGTAGATTTCTTGGCCACGAATCGGTTGCCGGTCATTTCCTGCCGGGACCCCAGGGAAATGGAGAAGCAAGGATTTTTAAGAGGAATTCTTTCCGTTCCGTTTCGAAACTTGCTTTGGATATTAAAACATTAAATGAGATGCGTTTGTGTTTTCTTTACCCTGGTTTATTTCAATGAAACAAACCCGAGACAGGCCCAGGGTTAAAAAGCCAAAACAATTGTTCCAAACCCAGGTAGTCCTTGACTTAACAACAATTCATTTAGTGACCGTTCAAAGTTACAACAGCTCTGAAAAAAAGGGACTTAGGACCATTTTTTTCACACTTGTGACCATTGCAGCATTCCCCATGCGATCAAAATTGAGACACTTGGCAACTGGTTCATATTTACGACAGTCGCAGTGTCCCAGGGTATCAAGTGATCCCTTTTGCGACCTTCTACCAGGCAAAGTCAACAGGGGAAACCAGATTCACTTAACAACTGGGTGACTGGCTTATCAATGGCAGGGATTCGCTTAGCGATGGTGGCAAGAAAATTGGTAAAATGGGGGAAGAACTCGCTTAACCGATGTCTCGCTTAGCAACAGGAATTTTGGGCTCCATTTTTGGTCGTAAGTCGAGGACTAGGCTGTAAAATGCAGAGGGATGGCGTCCGATTTTCACCTTTGTAAAATGCCCAGAATAACAAGGAAAGTTTGCTTCAGGGGCAAGGAATTAAATATTAAATGGGGGATAGATTTAATTCCAACAGGTAAAATGCCCTGATGCCCTGTTGTAGCCAAACCTTTTACACCAGAGAGTGGACTTCAACTCCCAGAATTCCCCAGCCAGCATGCTTTAAGAGATGAGGACTTCAACTCCCAGAATTCCCCAGCCAGCATGCTTTAAGGTCGGTGGACTTCAACTCCCAGAACCCCCCACTTCACAAGACTGAATGAGAGAACTGAGCCCCCAAAACCACATCCGAGGCTAAGATTCGTTCCGTGCTTTATTATATATTTATTAATTATTATTATTGTATTCTCAGCCAGCAATAATAGAACAAAAAGTCATTTATTTCTTCCACAAAGGAGCAGATCTTTAGCTGGAGGTGGCAGAAATCGGCTGCAATCTTCATGGCGAACCCTTCTTCTCGTCTTTCTGATCCCCTCCTTAAAGACAAAAATAGAAAAATTAAAACAGACATTCCAATCTTTATCAATCCTTCCATTCCCCACCATTCAGTCAGAACTGAAGAAAGCTTCTCGGATGAGAAGCGAAACCTCTTCAGAGAAAAAAACAGAAAGTCCAGTTGTCTCTTGAAAAACCACCTTTGGGACAAAGAAAAACCTCCAAGTGGCCTCAATGGCTCTCAAAAAGGATGCAGATAACCAGCTCTGTCTGCAAGGAGTAGCAATTCTTCCATTCCCCACCATTCAGTCAGAACTGAAGAAAGCTTCTCGGATGAGAAGCGAAACCTCTTCAGAGAAAAAAACCAGACAGTCCAGTTGCCTCTTGAAGAAGAAAAAAAAAACCTTTGGGACAACCATGACTCGGAGGATGGAGAATCTCCATAAATATTTCTTAATATTTATAGGTACGAGTGCGAATTTACCTGAGCAAAAAGAGTGTGGACACACAAACCGGACTTTGTAATCATGGCATAAACCGCTTTTCCCCTGGTCGGCATGGATACAAGCGAACCCGTTGATCGGATCATTCCTAAAAATGGGAGAAGAACCCTCAGCAAACAGGCAATCCTCCATTTATGACTACCGATTCCGTCGCTCAGCGAGAGCGTCGTTAGGTGAGTTTTTAACGAGCTCTCTCGCCACTCTCTTGTTAAGGGAATCCGGCTTCCTCACATGTCGGAAGGTCGCAAAAAGGATCACGTGACCCCGGGACTCTGCAGCCGTCATAAATGCAGGGAGTCCTCAAATCGCGTCCACAATTGAGCCCAACATTTCTGTTGTTGAGTGAGACATTTGTTAAGGGAGCTTTGCCCCCATTTTGCGACTTTCACTGAAACTAGCAGGGTTATGTACTGGCAATGAGTAGAGTAGATTCCGCCTCCTCTCTGTCTCCCCCGCTCCTCTTTCCTTCCTTCTTCACCTCTTCTTTCTCTACCACTGTTGCTTCTTCTTCTCTTTCTCTTCTTCTCCTCCTCTTCCTCCTCCTCCTCCTCCTCCCACTTTTCTTCCTCCAACTCTTCCTCCTTCTCCTGCTCCTCCTCTTTCTCTCTCTCCTTCTCCTCTCCTTCTCCTCCTCCTCCCACTCTTCCTCCTTTTTCCTCCTCCTCCCACTCTTCTCCTCTTCCTCCTTCTCCTCCTCCTCCTCCTCCTCCTCCTCCTCCTCCTCCTCCACCTTCTCTTCCTCCTCCCACTCTTCTTCCTCCAACTCTTCCTCCTTCTCCTGCTCCTTCCTCTTTCTCTCCTTCTCCTTCTCCTCTCCTTCTCCTCCTCCTCCCTCTTCCTCCTCCTTCTCCTCTTCCTCCTTCTCCTCCTCCTCCTCCACCTCCTTCTCCCACTCTTCTTCCTCCAACTCTTCCTCCTTCTCCTGCTCCTCTCCTCCTCTTTCTCTACTTCTTCTCCTCCTCCTTCTCCCTCTTCTCCTCCCACTCTTCCTCCTTCTCCTTCTCCTTCTCCTCCTCCCCAGCTTCTCCTTCTCCCCTCCTTCTCCCACTCTTCCTCCTCCTCCCATTCTTCCTCCTCCTCTCCCTTTCCTCCTCCTCCCACTCTTCCTCCTTTTCTTCCTCCCAGTCTTCCTCCTCCTCCTCTCCTTCTCTTTCTCCCTCTCCTTTTCCTCCTCCTCTCCCACTCTTCTTCCTCCCACTCTTCCTCCTTATCTCCTTCTCCTTCTCCCTCTCCTTCTCCCACTCTTCCTCCTCCTCCTTCACCAAAAAAGCTCAAATCCAAGTGGTGGTGGTGGAAGGGGGGGGGGGTGACTGGCCATCTCACCAGGCAAATAGCTGTCCTGTTCGGTAAGCAGGGACACCTCTGACGGTCTCCACCTCAATGGCGAGGCGATTTTTGCAAAGAGCTTTGGGGAGTTCTCTTTGGATGTAGTAAACCAGCTCATAGTCCCCCGTGCCGGTGGAGTTGTCTCGATTGATCCATTGCGTCTTGCAGGCTAAGAACAGACCAAACAGAAAAGTTCTTGGCATTAGAAATCAAGCTGTCCTCGCACAAAACTGGAAAGCAGAGAATATACCATCGGAGGGAGAAGTCATTAAAATTTTTTTAAAAAATATATATGTTTGATAAAATAACTGAAGTGTGTGCATGAAGAGAACCGGTAGTAAAGCCAGTTAGAACCTATCACTGGCTCAGCTGCCTCTTATCTGATTATTGTCTAGTCTGCGTCTCTTCCTCCTGTCTCCCAAGGCCATTTGCACAGACCATTACAATATTTCTGCCCCCTCCTCTTTACAGCCAAAGAAACTAGGGAGGGTCCTTTCTGAGATGCTTCCCATGCCCCTTTTCCTTCTGAGGGCTCAGCTGCCTCTTATCTGAACCGTGTCTAGTCTGCGTCTCTTCCTCCTGTCTCCCAAGGCCATTCCCACATCCCATTACAATATTTCTGCCCCCTCCTCTTTACAGCCAAAGGAACTAGGGAGGCTCCTTTCTGAAATGCTTCCCATGCCCCTTTTCCTTATGAGGGCTCAGTTGCCTCTTATCTGAACTGTGTCTAGTCTGCGTCTCTTCCTCCTGTCTCCCAAGGCCATTCCCACATCCCATTACAATATTTCTGCCCCCTCCTCTTTACAGCCAAAGAAACTAGGGAGGGTCCCTTCTGAAATGCTTCCCACGCCCCTTTTCCTTCTGAGGGCTCAGTTGCCTCTTATCTGAACCGTGTCTAGTCTGCGTCTCTTCCTCCTGTCTCCCAAGGCCATTCACATCCCATTACAATATTTCTGCCCCCTCCTCTTTACAGCCAAAGAAACTAGGGAGGCTCCTTTCTGAAATGCTTCCCATGCCCCTTTTCCTTATGAGGGCTCAGTTGCCTCTTATCTGAACTGTGTCTAGTCTGCGTCTCTTCCTCCTGTCTCCCAAGGCCATTCCCACATCCCATTACAATATTTCTGCCCCCTCCTCTTTACAGCCAAAGGAACTAGGGAGGCTCTTTCTGAAATGCTTCCCATGCCCCTTTTCTTATGAGGGCTCAGTTGCCTCTTATCTGAACTGTGTCTAGTCTGCGTCTCTTCCTCCTGTCTCCCAAGGCCATTCCCACATCCCATTACAATATTTCTGCCCCCTCCTCTTTACAGCCAAAGAAACTAGGGAGGGTCCCTTCTGAAATGCTTCCCACGCCCTTTTCCTTCTGAGGGCTCAGTTGCCTCTTATCTGAACCGTGTCTAGTCTGCGTCTCTTCCTCCTGTCTCCCAAGGCCATTCCCATATCCCATTATAATATTTCTGCCCCTCCTCTTTACAGCCAAAGGAACTAGGGAGGCTCCTTTCTGAAATGCTTCCCACACCCCTTTTCCTTCTGAGGGCTCAGTTGCCTCTTATCTGGAACCGTGTCTAGTCTGCGTCTCTTCCTCCTGTCTCCCAAGGCCATTTGCACGGACCATTACGAAAGGAAAGGAGAAAGTTAGCAAGGCTGTGAATTTTCCCTAACTTCCTCTTGCAAGTTACAAAGAGTTTTAGGTAAGGGTTTTTGTACCTTGGATCGGGAATTGGGGTGTGCTTTGCTCTTGTTCCAAAGTAGAAGTGGGGGCCAATGATGTCAGAGGGGCTGGTTCCGGAGTAGACCGTTCTTGGCTACCTGTGGGGGTAGGGGGAAAATTCTTTTTATCTGTCTCTTAAAAACAACAACAACAACGCACAATCCACAACAGGTTGCAATACGGCGACGCGTTGAGTGTTGAGCTTCAGCTGGAAACCTTTACAGCAAATGCTCACCTTACGACCACAATTGAGCCCCAAATTTCCATCGCTAAATGAGATGTCGGTGAAGGGTGTTTCGCCCCATTTCACGACCTTCCTTGCCATCGTTGTTAAGTGAAGAATAGGGTTGTTAAGTGAATCCGGCTTCCCTCCTTGAGGTCGCCAAGGGAGGATCAAGTGAATCCGGGAAGCCAACCGTCATAAATATAAGTCAGTGGCCAAGCGTCTGAATTTTGTCCACGTGACCGCGGGGGAATGCTGCATCGGTCGTAAGTGTGAAACACGATCCTGAGTCACTATTTCCCCCCCCCCGCTTCGAATGCTCACTAAACAAACTGTGGTACGTTGAGGCCTCCTAACTCGTACTATACAACAGATCATTTAAACATTTTGCAGTGGTTTACGAAAGGTCCCGCTCGGCTCTCGGTGTCAAATTTAGGCTAAAGAAGATGCTTACCTGTACAGAAAGACGGAGGGCAGGTGAATCGCACCTGGTAGTCGTAACATCGCTGTCCTTTCCCTTGTTCGGCGTTGATGCAAGAGAAACCAACGAGGGGGTCATTTCTGCTCGGAGAGACAGAAACGGGTGGACGCTTAAGTTAGGAAAGTCGTTTTCTTTTTTTTTAAATTGACTTTCTATTAAATACGTTTCTTAGTGTTTTTATAAAGCTCGTGTCGTCTGGGTATTTCATCTCTGCTGCATGATAGGAAAACCTATAGGTTGTAAACCTTGAGTTGTGTTTTATTAGATTAAAACCGGTGTGTATTTTCTGTAAGCCGGCTAGAGTCGCCGTGAGCGAGTAGGCGGCTGTATAAATTTTCCAAAATCAATCAATCAACCAATCAATTCATTCTTCCTTCCTTCCTTCTTTTTCCCTCCCTCCCTCTTTCCTTCCTCCTTCACTTCTTTCCTTCTTTCGCCTTCCTTCCTTCTTCTGCTTCCTTCCTTCCTTTCTTCCTTCCCTCTTTCCTTCCTTCTTCACGTCTCTCCTTCCTTCTCCCTTTCTCCTTCCTTTCCCCTTCTTTCTCCTTCCTTCCTCCCTCCCTCCCTTCTTTTTCCCTCCCTCCCTCTTTCCTTCTTCCTTCACATCTCTCTCCTTCCTTCTCTCTCCTTCCTTCCTCCTCCTTCCTTCCTCCTTCCTTCCTTCCTCCCCATTCCTTCTGTCTTTCCTTCTTTCTCCTTCAGTTTCCTTCCTCCCTCCTTCCCCTCCCTCTTTCCTTCCTTTTTTCCCCCTCCCTATTTCCTTCCTTCACTTCTCTCCTTCCTTCTCCCTTTCTCCTTCTTTCTCCTTCCTTCCTCCCTCCTTCTTCACTTCTCTCTCCTTCCTTCCTCCTCCTTCCTTCCTCCTTCCTTCCTTCTTTCTTTCTCCCCATTCCTTCTGTCTTTCCTTCTTTCTCCTTCAGTTTCCTTCCTCCCTCCTTCCCCCTCCCTCTTTCCTTCCTTTTTCCCCCTCCCTATTTCCTTCCTTCACTTCTCTCCTTCCTTCTCCCTTTCTCCTTCTTTTCTCCTTCCTTCCTCCCTCCCTTCTTCACTTCTCTCTCCTTCCTTTGCTCTCCTTCCTCCCTTCCTCCCTCCCTCTTTCCTCCCTTTTTCTTTCACTTCTCTTTCCTTCCTTCCTTCCTTCCTTCCTTCCTTCCTTCCTTCCTTCCTTCCTTCCTTCCTTCCTTCTTTCCCAGCCAGCCTCCAACAAACAAAACCAGTTGGGGGGAACCCCGTTTCTCTTTAACGAGCCCATGATTCATTTAACAACTGCAATGTTTTGCTTAACAACCCTGGGCCAAAAAAACGTTCCCCCTGCCCATCCGTGCTTAGCCACAGAAATCATTTTAAGTTGTATTTTCTTCCAGTTCCATTTTAAATTGCATTTTATCCAATTCCACTTTAAATTGTTTTTTTAAAAAAAATCAGATTTTAGTAATAATTTGTGTCTGGAACTCTGCAGACAGAGGGCTAATCGATCAAGTCGACTCGACAGAAATCCTGGTCCCCAATTCTGGTCGTCAGACGAGGACGACTTCTATTTCTCCGCGAAAACTACGAAATCTTACACGGCAAAGCGTTGTCCCGTCTCCGAAGCGGGGATCCCATCAGTGGTCTGCACCTCTATTTCAAGGGGTACGGAGCAGATTTTCTGGGGGTTTAGTTTCCGGAGGTGCACAAGGAGTTCTTGGTCTCCTTCTCCGAAAGGATTGTCTTGATTGAACCAGATAGTCCGGCAAACGGAAGAAGATTCTGCCAACGAAAAAGTGGTCGTCATTTTGAGATGCCTTTGAATAAATGTTGGGAATTAAGATTTTACCTGGAAAGGAAACTAGGTAGGTCCCTGTTTATGTTAAAAGTAGATAAAATATTTAGATGAAGAGAATATATTATAATCTGGTATATATATGATGTACTAGAAATAAAAGATAGATTAGGATAAGAAAGAGAAAATGTATAAATATGGATTACGGATGCGAAGATGTTGAAAAGAAGAAGATGTAAATATCTGTTTTTGCTTGTTCATTTTGTTTGCTTTTTAAAAACTGCTAATTTGTTAATCTCCCCCCACCTCTATTTATCTCTATCTCCAACTATCTAAAATGGCTTTTTAAAAAACGTTCTTCCTTTTTCTTCCTTAAATTATATTCTTCCTTGTATACGAAATATCTCATCCCATATTTCATGCCAGGGTTGCCAACCTTGTCCAGTGCTCTGAACTTGTCCTTCTGTGGGATGCGGTCCTGGAGAGGTTTGGTCTTCAGCACCTGTGGAAAAGGTAGGGCAAATTTGATGGTGCTGTCTGAGCTGAGTTGGTATTTCTTGCAGACATTTCATGACCCAAGTAGGTAACACGATCAGTGCTGGCAAGCAGAGGGGTTTGCAGAGAGGAGGAGGAGAAGGAGAAGGAAGAGAAGGGGGAAAAAGGAGGAGAAGGAGGAGAGAGAAAGAGAAGAAGGAGAGAGACAGAGAAGGAGAAGGAGAGAAAATGAGAAGGAGGAGGAGAGAGAAGGAGAAGAAGACAGAAGGAGAAGGAGAGAAAAGGAGAAGGAGAAGGAGACAGAAGGAGATAAAAGGAGGAGGAGGAGAGAAGGACTAGAAGAAGGAGAAGAGAGAGAGAAGGAGAGAAGAGGAGGAGAAGGAGGAGGAGAAGGAGGAGAAAGAAGGAGAGAAAAGAAGGAGGAGGAGAAGGATAAGGAAAGGAGAGAGAAGGAGGAGGAGAGAGAAGGAGAAGGAGAGAAAATGAGGAGGGGAAGGAGAGAGAAAGAGAAGGAGACAAAAGGAGAAGGAGGAAAGAAGGAGGAGAAGGAGAACGAGAGAGAAAGAGAGAGAAAATGTGGAGGAGAAGAAGAAGGAGAAAAGAAGGAGAAGAGAAAGAGACAAAAGGAGAAGGGGAGAAGGAGGAGAAGGATAAGGAGAGAAAAGAAGGAGGAAAGAAAGGAGGAGAAGGAGAACG